CTATGAGATCTTTGCTCCTCGTTGAATTAACAACAAATCAGTTGTCTCCATGCCAGAGGAAGATACCACATAAAGCAAGACTAAAATGAGCAGAGAACAGAGAATGTCTTCATGGCCTTAGGGATGGGCAAACATTTCTAAAACAGAATGCGAACAGCACTAACCATAGAATAAAAATCGATGAATTGGACTTTATCAAAATTAAATCCTCTCTTCATCCAAGGGCACCATTAAAAAAAATGAAAAGGCAAATCTCAGACTTGGAGAAGATATATATCTGCAATACATGTATCTGATAAAGTATTCATTTCTAGAATATTTGAAGTACTGCAGATCAATAAGAAAAGTTAAAATGACCCAATTTAAAAAATGAGAAAAAGAGGCCGGGGTGCGGTGGCTCATGCCCATAATTGGCACTTTGGGAGGCCGAGGCGGGTGGATCACCTGTCAGGAGTTCGAGACTAGCCTGACCAACATGGTGAAACCCTGTCTCTACTAAAAGTACAAAAATTAACTGGGTGTGGTGGTGGGTGCCTGTAATCCCAGCTACTCAGGAGTCTGAGGCAGAAGAATTGCTTGAACCTGGGAGGCAGAGATTGCAGTGAGCCGAGATCACACTACTGCACTCTAACCTGGGAGACAGAACAAGACTCAGTCTCAGGAAAAAAAAAAAAAAAAAAAAGAGAGAGAGAGAGAGAGAGAGAAAGACTTGACCAGGCACTAACAAAAGAGGATATCCAGATGGCCAAATACACTGTGAAAAAGTGCTGAATATCATCATTCACCAGAAAATGCAAATTTGCTGGGAGATTAGCTGAGCCTGGTTGCACAATCCTGTAGTCTCAGTTACTTGGGAGGTTGAGGTGGGAGGATCATTTGAGCCTAGGAGTTTGAGGCTGCTGTGAGCTATGATCACGCCACTGCACTCTGGCCTTGGTGACAGAGTGCAAAAGAAAAAAAAAAAGAACAGCATACACACACAAAACTCTCACAAAAAGATACTACTACACACCCACCATAATAGCTAAAATGAAAAGACTCACAATACCAAGTGTTGCTGAGGATATGGAACAACTAGAACTATTGTGTATTGCTGTGGGAAGTGTGGAAGAGGTACAGCCACTGGCAACATTGTTTGGCAGATTATATTAAAGCTATAGATATGCCTGCTCTGCAACCCAGTAATTCTACTTCTAGGTATATAAACCTAAGGGATTTGGTTGGGCGTAGTGGTTCACGCCTGTATTCCCAGCACTTTGGGAGGCCAAGGTGGGTGGATAACCTGAGGTCAGGAGTTCGAGACCAGCCTGGCCAATATGGTGAAATCCCGTCTCTACTAAAAATACAAAAAAATTAGCTGGGTGTGGTAATGAGTGCCTGTAATTCCAGGTACTCAGGAGGCTGAGGCAGGAGAATCACTTGAACCTGGGAGGCGGATGTTGCAGTGAGCCAAGATCGTGCCATTGCACTCCATCCTGGCAGACAGAGCAAGACTCCTTCTCAAAACAAAACAAAACAAAACTAAGGGATTTGAATGCCTGTGCTGACAAGAATGTTCAAAGGAGTTTCTCCAAACCTGAAACACCCCAAATTCCCATCAGCAGAAGATTGGAGAGATAAATTGGTGGTCTATTCATGTAAGAGTACTATGCAATGATGACAAGATGATATGCTCTGATTCCATTAATATGTAGTTCAAAAGGAGGCAAAGCTGATCTATGATGAGTCAAATCGTGGTTCTGTCTGGTGGGGATATGGATTGGGAGAGTGCATGAGGGAACCTTTTGGGGTGCTGGAAATATTCCTTATGTGGCCTGGGGTGGTGGTTATAGAAATGCCTGTTTATGAAAATGATGATCAAGTTGTCCATTGTGTACTGTATGTACTCTGATGAATGTATGTTATACTTCTTTTTTTTTTTTTTTTTTTTGAGATAGAGTCTTGCTCAGTCGCCCAGGCTGGAGTGCAGTGGCACAATCTTGGCTCACTGCAAGCTCCGCCTCCTGGGTTCACGCCATTCTCCTGCCTCAGCCTCCCAAGTAGCTGGGACTACAGGCGCCCGCCACCATGCCTGGCTATTTTTTTTTGTAGTTTTGGTAGAGACGCGGTTTCACTGTGTTAGCCAGGATGGTTTCAAACTCCTGACCTCGTGATCTGCCCACCTCGGCCTCTCAAAGTGCTGGGATCACAGGCATGAGCCACTGTGCCCAACCTATACTTCTGTTTTTTAAAAATGAAGAGAAATGCAGATTCTCATGTCCAAGAGAAGTAATAACAATAATAATTTATGGAGCACCCAATATGTGCCTGGTTGCTTTATAGAGATTGTTTGCCTTAATCCATCTAAACCTCCTGTCAAAACGATATTCTTTTCTTGCTAGAGAGGAGGAAACTGAGGCTTAGAGAGGCACAATAGCTTGTCTGAGTATCACAGCTGGTCAGTGTGGGAGTCAGGTCTTGAACACCATATTCTGCACTGTTGCCACTTGGCTTGGGATGTTGAGAGTGAATCTTGGTACAGCATCAAAGCTCTCTGTGTTGCTTGCTACTCCCCCGGAGCATCAGATGTTGCAAACACCATTCTTTAAAGAGAACTTCATTGTGTGAACCCCAAGTTCCCCCGCCTTCTTCAAAACAAAAACATGGATTGGGAAGCCCAGGCCCTTTATGAACCCTTTCCACGAATTTGTTCCAATCAGGAAAAGAGCCTGCAGCTTCCTCCCCACCCTGTCCATCCTAACTGTTCTGTGTTGTTAATTCTCTGAGAATGAGAGGGGATGGGTTAGCCCATCCCCTGGCTTGAGTGCAGTTAATATTGTGAGCCAGGCTTGAACTCCAGCTCCGCTCCTTTTAAACAGTGAGGCCCTTGGGTAGTTTTTTAATTTCTCAAAGCCTTTGTTTCCTGGTCTGTGAAAAGCGACAGTGGTACTTCCCTTCCAGTCTCACTGTGAGAGTTAAATGCGGTCGTATGTAAGAAGTGCTCAGCTCAGCGACAGGTTCATAGCAAGTGTGCAATAAAAGATGTGTAGAAATGTCAAAGCTGGCCGGGTACAGCCAGCCTGCAATCCCAGCACTTTGGGAGGCCAAGGCAGGAGGATTGCTTGAGTCCAAAGTTCAAGACCAGCCTGAGCAATATAGTAAGACCCCATCTCCAAAAAGATAAATAAATAAAGCTTTCACTTTCCTGGTGCCTGATTCCTTCCAAGCCTCTTAAAGAGGCTTAGCTGGCCGGGCACGGTGGCTCAAGCCTGTAATCCCAGCACTTTGGGAGGCCGAGATGGGCAGATCATGAGGTCAGGAGATTGAGACCATCTTGGCTAACACGGTGAAACCCCGTCTCTACTAAAAAAAAATACAAAGAACTAGCTGGGCGAGGTGGTGGGCGCCTGTAGTCCCAGCTACTCGGGAGGCTGAGGCAGGAGAATGGTATAAACCCGGGAGGTGGAGCTTGCAGTGAGCTGAGATCCGGCCACTGCACTCCAGCCTGGGCGACAGAACGAGACTCCGTCTCAAAAAAAAAAAAAAAAAAAAAGAGGCTTAGCACCTTTGCCCGCTAAATAATTCAACACATATTTGGAAGAAAGAAGTTATGTGAATGGCTTCTTCACAAAGTGTAACATATAGTGAATAAATGGGGCAGAATTGCAGCGCTTCAGCAAGGAAAGGGGGGCATTTTGAACTAGCGTGGTCAGATGGAGGTATTATTTGGCTGAGTCTTCAAAAATGGGTGGGATTTAGGCACAGAGAGAAGACCAGGAAGGTCGTTCTCAATTAGGGGGAGGGCAGGAGGTAGTTCCTAGGAGCCAAGGTCAAGTTCGGGAAGGGTGAGCAGGTGATTTTGGTTGGTGCTTGAAACTTGTGTAGGAACTAGTGGAAGATAAAGTAGGAAAGGAGGCCTGGTTCCAGATGAGGTCGCATTAAGAAAGCTGGAATTTTTTTTTTTTTTTTTTTTTTGAGACAGAATCTTGCTATGTTGCCCAGGCTAGAGTGCAGTGGCAGGATCTTGGATCACTGTGCAACCTCTGCCTCCCGGATTCAAGTGATTCTCCTGCCTTAGCTTCCTGAGTAGCTGGGATTACAGGTGTGCGCCACCACACCTGGCTAATTTTTGTATTTTTTTTTTTTTTTTAGTAGAGGCGGGGTTTCACCATGTTGGTCAGCCTGGTCTCGAACTCCTGACCTTAGGTGGTCCGCCTGCCTCGGCCTTCCAAAGTGCTGGGATTACAGGTGTGAGCCACTGCATCCGGCCCGAAAGCTGGATTTGTTTCTGTTGGAAAAGGAGTTGCTGCACTTTGCTGAGTGCAGGAGGTGTAAGATGGAGCCAGGGGCATGCAGGCCCACATGGGAGGTGAGAGAGACCAGGCCAGGAGGCCCATGAGAGGACAACCTGCGCATTCATGGGAGTCAGATGGGGATGAGTTGGGTGTGACTCAGGAAGGAGGCACTGGGCTGGGACAGAAGATGTAGGTAGGCTCCAGGAGATGACAGGGAGGGAAGGTGAAGGCCTATGAAGGCTCAAAGCCAATTGCTCAGGTTCACGAAGCAGAAAGGGTTCATGAAGAGGAAAGGGAAGAGAGAAAGTCAGTTGGGAGATGATAATGAAAAGGATTTCTTAATGGCTGAGGCTGGAGGTGGCAGCTGCTTTCATGGTTCCTACTTTCCTCTGTTATTTGAATGTTCCTGGGAACACACTGTCCTCTCCTGGTCTCAGGTTTGTATAGGGGACACCAAGAGGACAGACTCGGGCTTTATGCACGCTTCCTTTCCACCCTTGCCTCACAGAAACCACACAGAGGGAGGCGTGGCAAGACGAGAAGAGTCCCAACAGCAGGATCCTTTCCAAATCTATCCCTTCCAGTGGCAAGCATTTGTTTAAATGCCCTGGCAAGGAGTTGGGGGGCCTTCTTTCAGTTTGTGCAAAGTTAACGAACTGTCTTCTGATTTTATGGAGAGATGCAAATAGTGTGTTGAATAAAAATCTCTTTGTTGTTGTTTTACAGGGCTGTAGAAATGGCCAGGAAGAAAACCACCCCCTCTTAAGGCTGTTTTTGTGACCATTCTTTGGAGCATTGTTCTAAAAATGGGAAATTACATATTGCTGTGCCAAGAGCAACAAACACCTGCAGTTAAAGGAATACCTTCCACGAGGCGGCTTTTCGGAGTATGCATGATTATAGCTCCAGCCAGGCCGGACCAAGGGCTGCTGCAGAAGCTCTGCTTGGTGCATTTCTTTACTTGCAAGGGGACAGAGTGTGGGCTTAGGTTTGGGACTAGACGGGGCTTTGGCAGCTATGGGGCTCAGGTGATTATCCTTCACTCATTTATCCAATAAACATTTATCAAGCATCTATTCTTGTGTCAGCCTTTGTGGTTTTCTCTGTTCCCTTCCCTGGCGTTGTGAGAATCCCTGGGAGAGTTGGCCACAGGCAGCAGCTTGCTGTCCTTATTTTCTTTCAGTTTTCAGAGTCAGTGCATGACTGCTGCCTCCACATGACCGAGAACCCCCGCACATTCTCTCCTTTCTTTTCTTTCCCCCTCTTACATCCCTTGCTCCTCCTCCCCTTTCTCTTTCCTCTTTATGTATCTAAAAAAGGAGAAATGTAATTTTTTTTTTTTTTTTTTTTTTTTTGAGACAGTATCTCACTCTGTCACCCAGTCTGGAGTGCAGTGGCATGATCTCAGCTCACTGTAACCTCCGCCTCCCGGGTTCAAGCGATTCTCGTGCCTCAGGCTCAGTAGCTGGGATTACAGGCGCCTGCCACCATGCCTGGCTAATTTTTGTATTTTTTTTTTTTTAGTAGAGATGGGGTTTCACCACGTTGGCCAGGCTGGTCTCAAACTCCTGACCTCAAGTGATCCACCTGCCTTTGCCTCCCAAAGTGCAGGGATTACAGGGATGAGCCACCATGCCTGGCCAATAAATGCACTTTTTTAATACGCCAATCGATACATTTCTTCAGGCACACGCCTTTTCAAAGTTTCCTGTTGCTGGAGGTCGGTCTGAAATTCTTAATCTATGCTGGTAGATGTTAAAGGATAATTTTTGATTATTTGGTTAATATTTAACTTTTGTCAACACTGATATTGCAAAATAATCAGGTCTTGAAATTTATCAAGCATGAAATGAATACCATTCAGATGGAATGGTTTAAGAGGAATCCAGTTTCATAAACTAATCTCATCTTTTTTTTTTGAGATGCAGTTTTGCTCTTGTTGCCTGGGCTGGAGTGCAATGGCATGATACTGGCTCCCTGCAACCTCCGCCTCCTGGGTTCAAGCGATTCTCCTGTCTCAGCCTCCCAAGTAGCTGGGATTACAGACACCATGCCCAGCTAATTTTTGTATTTTTAGTAGAGATGGGATTTCTCCATGTTGGTCAGGCTGGTCTCAAACTCCTGACCTCAGGAGACCCACCTGCCTCAGCCTCCTAAAGTGCTGGGATTACAGGTGTGAACCACCATGCCTGGCCAACTAATCTCATCTTTATCTAGAAACAGAAAAGCAAGGAGCAACGGAATACAATGAATTTCAAACGGTTTTTTGCATTTTGGTTAGAACTTCCTGCCCACAGAGCATATGAATTCCTCAAATGGGTCAGCCAGAGAGTAATGGGAGGTCTTTTTGGGGGTCCAGGGTCATGTCTCAGGGGCCACTTGGTTATTGATGTGGTCCTCCTGGAAGCAGAGAGATGGAATAAAAAGGTTGGGAGGCCAAGGAGGGCGGATCACGAGGTCAAGAGATTGAGATCATCCTGGCCAATATGGTGAAACCCCATCTCTACTAAAAATACAAAAATTATCTGGGCATGGTGGCGGGCGCCTGTAGTCCTTGCTACTCGGGAGGCTGAGGCAGGAGAATCGCTTGAACCCGGGAGGTGGAGATTGCAGTGAGCCAGGATGGCGCCACTGCACTCCAGCCTGGCAACAGAGCGAAACTCCGTCTCAAAAAAAAAAAAGGTCTCAAGTCCTGTAATGTACTTAATTTACTGTCTTGGCTTCCACCTTTGTTTCAATTTTTCCACTAGAGGGTCCAAAGTAGAATCCTGCTGCTGTGATCGAGTGCTTGACGCAGATGCACGTTCGAATGATTTATTTTTCTTTTGCTTTCTTGGACTTTCTAATTTTTCTACAATGAGTAGCAAGATAACTAAAATGTGAATCATGGCTTCATAGGACTCACATTCTAGAGAAGGCAACAGTTACAAGCAAACATGCTACAGTAAGATAAATACATGATTTATTCCACTGTAAATAGCTGCCCCAGATGAGGGGCGTGGGAGCCCAGCAGCGGAGAGAGCCCCTGAACCTCAGGGCACAAAGTGCTGGGTAGGGAGAGCGGGGAGAAACAGCCCACAGACCAAGTCTTGAAAGAATCTGAAGGGGGCCAGACTTAGCAAATGAAATAGAATATGCCAGATAAGTGCGCATTTTAGATAATGAAACGATTTTTAGTGTAAGTATGTATTATACTTATACTAAAGTATTGCATGAGTCTTGAAGGATGGAGTTTGGTTCTTCCAGGGACTTTGGGAAGGGAAAGCATTTCGGTCAGTGGGAACTGCTTCTGCAAAAGTGTGGAAGTGCGAATGGCATGGATTTGTTGCCTGTTTCAAATGTGAACGTCTGTGCCTCGATGTGAATCAACGAGCCTTACTGAGAGGCAGTTTTATTTCCGAGCAACATCCACTGCTCCACCCTCAAAGCGAGGGGTAGGTGGGAAGCAGCAGGATTTGAGGCCAGAGTGGAAGCAAGGCCATCTCCAGGAGCCTTTGGTGAGGCTTGGTGAGGGGTTTGGACTTTATCCGACAGGGGACCAGGAAGAGGGAAGGATTTTAAGCAAAAGCACGAACTTCCTGTTTGATTTTTGGCAATCATGGGAAGGAAGCAAGACTAAAATCTTAGAGACTATTTAGGAGGCAGATTAACGGCCCCCCAAGGATGTCCATAACCTAATCCCCAGACCCTGTGGATGTGTTAGGTTACCTGGCAAGGGAGAATTAGGGTTGCACATGGATGAAAGTTTCTCATCAGCTGACCGTGAGATGGGGAGGTTGTTTTGGAGAATCTGATGGGCCCAGTGTAATCACAAAGATCCTTATGAATGGAAGTGGGAGGCAGAAGAGGAGATCAGCATCGGAGAGAGACTTGCACAGGCTGCCCTGCTGACTTTGAAGATGGGGAAGGGGCCATGAGCCAAGTAATGAGGGTGGCCTTTAGAAAGTGCAAAAAACAAGGGTACAGATTCTCCCCTGGAGACTCCAGAAAGAATGCAGCCTGCCAACACCTTGGTTTTTAGCCCAGTGAGATGCATTTCAGACATCTGGCCTCCAAAACGAGAAGATCACAAATTTGTATGTTTTAAAGTTATTAAGTCTGCGGTAAGTTGTTAGAGCAGCCATAGAAACTAATGTAGAGGCTGTTTGCAATGATCCAGGTCACAGACGGTGAAGGCCTGGAATTGGCAATAGGGTCAAGAGAAGGGGATAAGGGCTGGGCGCGGTGGCTCACGCCTGTAATCCCAACACTTTGGGAGGCTGAGGCGGGCAGATCATTTGAGTCCAGGAGTTCGAGACTAGCCTGACCAACATGGTGAAACCCGTATCTGTGAAAAAATACAAAAATAAGCTGGGCATGGTGGTGTGTGCCTGTCGTCCCAGCTAGTTAGGAGGCTGAGGGAGGAGGATTGCTTGAGCCCGGGAGGCGGAGGTTGCAGTGAGCAGTGATCGCGACTCTGCACTCCAGCCTGGGTGACAGAGTGAGACCCTATCTCAAAAAATACATAAATAACATAAATAAATAAATAAATAAATAAATAAATAAATAAAAATAAAGGGATCAATTCCATGTAAGTTCAGATGGACTCAGACTGACCGGACATCTAAGGTCAGGAGGTCAGGAGATTCTCCTAGCCCAGCAATCCTTTCTCCTCTCCTGATGCCCCAAGTCCTGCTCCTCCTTCCACAGCTCCCGGGGAGCCTCTGATCAAGTCTCTATCCTGTCCTAGGGCTGATTAGTTCCTACTTTTGTGATAGGGGCCTAAGAGAGAATTCTTCTTTATGTTTATTTTTCAGATGGAGTCTCATTCTGTCACCCAGGCTGGAGTGCAGTGGTGTGATCTCGGTTCACTGCAACCTCGGTTCACTGCAACCTCCGCCTCTGTAACCTCTGCCACTGCAATCTCTGCCTCCTGGGTTCAAGCGATTCTCCTGCCTCAGCTGTAGCTGGGACTACAGGCATGTGCCACCACGCCCGGGTAATTTTTGTATTTCTAGTGGAGGCGGGGTTTTGCCATGTTGGCCAGGCTGGTCTTGAACTCCTGACTTCAGGTAATCTACCTGCCTCAGCCTCCCACAGTGCTGGGATTACGGGCTTGAGCCACTGCACCCAGCCCTAAGAGGGAACTCTAAAGGTAGCTCTGTAAGTATCTGCCTCGTGGTTACACACACAGGGTGACTGTGAAACCGCCTTTGCAAAAATTACAACTGAGGAAATTAGGACAGTGAAAGAGATCAGACCTAACCGACTCCATCTCGCTTCTAACCTTTAAGCTGTCCTTGTTCATTCCTGGGCATAGGCCTGAACTAACTTTGGGAAAGAATTCCGTTCATGTTTTGACTCTGAAACAAAATTGATAATAGCTATTTCCCTAAAAAAAAAAAAACAAAAAAAACCCCCAAAAAACCCGTTGTTGCCTGTGGACAAGTCTGCCTTTGCAGGACTAACAAATTAGCTACAGGATTAGAAATTTAGTTTAGGGGTCATGCAGCCTCTGGCTCCGAGAGTCTGAGCCTCCCCAGATTGCTCTTGCAGATAACATCACTATTGTAAAATCTTTTTTTTTTTTTTTTTTTTTTTGAGACGGTGTCTCGCTCTGTCGCCCAGGCTGGAGTGCAGTGGCGTGATCTCCGCTCACTGCAACCTCTGCCTCCCAGGTTCCTGCCATTCTCCTGCCTCAGCCTCCCGAGTAGCTGGGACTACAGGCGCCGCCACCATGCCTGGCTAATTTTTTTTTTTTGTATTTTTAGTGGAGACGGGGTTTCACCGTGTTGGCCAGGGTGGTCTCCATCTCCTGACCTCACGATCTGCCCGCCTCTGCCTCCCAAAGTGCTGGGATTACAGGCGTGAGCCACCGCGCCCGGCCACTATTGTAAAATCTAAGATCAGTGTTTAAGATATTTTGCAGACCCTGCACTCGATGGATCAGCTGACACCACCCAGACTGGTAATCTGGCTCAACCGTTTCTGCCATCCTACCCAGGAACAGAAGACAGCAAGAAAACCACACTTCCACCCTCTGTGATTCCATCTCCAACCTGACCAGTCAGCACTCCCCACCTCCCAAGCCCCTACCCGCCAAATTATCTTCAAAAACAAAGATCCCCAAATGCTCAGGCAGACTGATTTCAGTCATAACAAAACTCCAGTCTCCCACACACCCAGCTCTGTGTGGATTACTCCTTCTCCACTGCAAGTCCCCTGTCTTGATAAATTGCCTCTGTCTAGGCAGCGAGCACGGTGAACCCACTGGGCAGTTACAGCTGTGGGCATATAACTGCGGGTATTTTAGGAGTTAACTAGACTCCTGTGATAAACTGGGAATCCATTTACCTAATGGGGGAACAAACCTGAGTTCCGAACCCCCGGTTTATCCATTCCCAAGCTGGCAACAATTCCCACGCTAGCTTAGCTGAACTTATTTTCAGATATTTTATTTTATTTTATTTTATTTTATTTTATTTTATTTTATTTTATTTTTGAGATAGAGTTTTGTTCTTGTTGCCCAGGCTGGAGTGCAATGGTGTGATCTTGGCTCACCGCAAATTCTGCCTTCCAGGTTAAGCGATTCTCCTGCCTTAGCCTCCCAAGTAGCTGGGATTACAGGCATGCGCCTCCATGCCGGGCTAATTTTGTGTTTTTAGTAGAAACGGGGTTTCTCCATGTTGGTCGGGCTGGTCTCGAACTCCCGACCTCAGGTGATCCGCCTGCCTCAGCCTCCCAAAGTGCTGAGATTACAGGTGTGAGCCACCCCAGCCTATTTTCAGATTTTTTTTGCATGCACTATAGCTTTAGAATGTTAGTTTGCTCATGGAAATGTGTTGGGTGGCTAACTACTGATGATTCATCCTCACATTATCCCCATGTGCCTGTTGGTGTATTCTGAAAGTGGTTGGGAGGAACATCCCCTAATTACATGTTTCTGAATGCATTGTTTGTGTGGCCTCATCATCAATAAAGCTTCTCTTTATCATCCATCTGAAGCCATTTTGAGAGGCAGTCACCCCTATGGTGATTACTGCCCACAAATCCCTTGGCATTCGAAAACAGCAGGCCTTGCATCAGCTGCAAACTAGACATAATTTTATCCATATCATCGTGATAAGGCTGATGAAGGCTGGTTTTGCTTCTTCTTCCTGCCTCATGAGTCATTTGCAGATATTTCTGTCAGGCTAACCTCAACTGTCTCGCATGTACAACAGCAGCTTTCCTACTGATCAATTAGTCCAGGCACATTGACACAAGCCCCTGGATTTTGCAACATGATGGCGGTGTTTGATAATTACCATTCTGCTTTAGGTTTCCTCCAGAGTAAGTTTCCTTTGGTTGCAGGTTTCAGGGGTAACAGATACTTTCAAAAATGTTTTTCACTCAGATTCAGTTTTCTTGACAACATGATCAAGAAATGTGGTCTTTTCCTCCCATGGGTTCCTCAAAGGTATGAATGCTAAAATTACTATCATGCTAAAAATACATTTGTTATTTTTAATCTTTTTTTTTTTTGATGAGTTTTGTTTGTTTTTTGCTTTGTTTTTGTTTTTCTTTTTGTTTTTTTGAGACAAGGTCTTGCTCAGTCACCCCAGACTGGAGTGCAGTGCTGAGATCTCAGCTCACAGCAACCTCTGTCTCCTGGGCTCAAGTGATCCTCCCACCTCAACCTCCTGAGTAGCTGGGATTACAGGCGTGCGCCACCACACCCAGCTAATTTTTGTAGGTTTTTTTTTTTTTTGTAGAGGCAGAGGTATCACTATATTGTCCAGACTGGTCTCGACTCCTGGACTCAGGCTATCTGCCAGCCTTAGACTACCAAAATGCTGGGATTACCAGCACTTTGGGAGGCCGAGGAGGATGGATCACCTGAGGTCAGGAGTTTGAGACCAGCCTGGCCAACATGGTGAAACCCTGAAATACAAAAATTAACTGGGCGTGGTGGCAGACACCTGTAATCCCAGTTACTTGGGAGGCTGAGACAGGAGAATTGCTTGAACCCAGGAGGCAGAGGTTGCACTGAGCTGAGATTGCACTGCTGCACTCCAGCCTGGGCAACAAGGAGCGAAACTCCGTCTAAAAAAAAAAAAAAAATTGCTGGGATTGCAGGATTACAGGCATGACCCATTGTGCCCAGCCTTGATGAGTTATGTTTTCAGTTTTTTCTTCACACAGTTTGTGCCTAATGCCTCCCAAAGGCAGGAATGCTTATAGTCATACATTGGCCTCCCTGTGTTTTGGAGCTTAGCATATTCATAGTGAAAATGGCTGATTGTATAATTATGTATTTATATAAAACGGGGGGGGAGCATACTTTTTCTTTCTCTCCTCCTCCTCCTCCTTCAAATGTAAAAATCATTCTTAGCTTAAGGTTTGTTTAAAAACTGGACACAGGCTGGGCATGGTGGCTCATGCCTGTAATCTCAGCACTTTGGGAAGCTGAAGCGGTTGGATCACCTGAGGTCAGGAGTTTGAGACCAGCTTGACCAACATGGTGAGACCCCGTCTCTACTAAGAATACAAAAAAAAAAAAAAAATGGCCAGGCACGGTGGCTCATGCCTGTAATCCCAACACTTTGGTAGGCTGAGGTGGGTGGATCACCTGAGGTCGGGAGTCCAAGACCAGCCTGACCAACATGGTGAAAACTGTCTCTACTAAAAATACAAAATTAGCCAGGTGTGGTGGCGTGTGCCTGTAATCCCAGCTACTTGGGAGGCTGAGGCAGGAGAATCGCTTGAACCCGGGAGGTGGAGGTTGCAGTGAGCTGAGATTGTGCCACTGCACTCCACCCTGGGCCACAGAGTGACATTCCGTCTCCAAAAAAAAAAAAAAAAAAAAAAAAGAAAAGAAAAAAATTAGGCTATAGCCTGAGCTTGGTCTGCCGGCCATAGTCTATAGACCCATGCTATAATACACGAGTAACTGGTGTTAGTAACTACAGTTACATACAGCGACTGGTGTGAGTAACACAGATAGAAAAGAATCCGGTGAACGGTGCCTTCATTTCTCGAATTTCCTGCTTTCTGTCAACATGCATCACACAGATACGTGCTCTTCCTGTGGTTGCAATCAGTTTATCTTTGCATTCTGCTGTTTTAAAATTTAACGCCCATTTCTGTGGATTGGCATAGCTCACATTCTTATGAATCACCCACAGTGATTCCTGAAGGGTCGTCCCCAGCCTCAAGCCTCTCTGCCCGGTAATTGTGCTTCTTATCCTCAGATACCTGCCTTGCATTGGCCCTGGGTAAATGTTTCTCTTGGCTGTGAATAGGCAATTAAAATTCTGAGCCTTTTATGGCTCTGGATGCTTATCCCATGGAACAAGACTCATCCAGGCGGATGGCCCACCAATGCAAAGGTATGTGCTTTAGGTTAGGATGACCTGGTGAAGGAGAATGTGATGCCTCAGCAGGGAGGGAGTGGGGGAGGAGAGGGAGCCGGGCAGCCCCCATCGAGGCCCCACCCGAAGCAAGGAATCTCTTTTGGAGTTGCCAGTCCCCCGACCTGCTCTGGAATTTTTACAATCAGAGCCCCTCCTCCGTGGCTGACAATGAAGGGCGTGATGGCTTTCTAGTTTGTGTGCGCGAGTGTGTGTTTGGGGGTGTGTGGACTTTGCTCATCACTATCATTTGGATTTTTGGCTCTGGGGATCCCATCACCACCTTCAGGGCAGGGGTTGGGGCACAGGCTCTGGAATCTGGGTTGTGAGGAGTAATTGAGAGATTGCAAAAACGCCTGCCAGCACCTAAACAATCAATATGGGTTATTGGGTTGTGGTTTTTGCCTGGGGACTTTAAAAACCGGGCAGGCAGAGGTCAAAGACAGCCCCGCCAGCTCCCCGCGGTCTTCTCCACCTTTGGGGCTGTCTCAGGTTCTAGATTCCGCGGGCTTCGCCCTTGAAATCATCTGGGAATGGAATTATTGCTAATCCCAAAAGGGCTGACACACCACTCGCTGGCAGGGTTCAACTGGGTGGCAACATGATTTGTGTGACTGCCCCTGTTTTCCCTCAGAATTCGGATTTTAAAACTTTCGAAATACGATATTTTTATTATATATATATATATTTATTATTATTATTATTATTGGAGTGCAGTGGCGCGATCTCAGCCCACTGCAACCTCCCAGGCTGGAGTGCAGTGGCGCGACCTCGATCTCGGCTCACTGCAACCTCCGCCGCCCGGGTTCAAGCGATTCTCCTGCCTCAGCTTCCCAAGCAGCTGGGACTACAGGCATACGCTACCACGCCCAGCTAATTTTGTATTTTTAGTAGAGACGGAGTTTCACCATGTTGGCCAGGCTGGTATCGAACTCCTGACCTCAGGTGATCCAGCCGCCTCGGCCTCCCAAAGTGCTGGAATTATGGGAGTGAGCCACCGTGCCCGGCCGAGATTTTTAAAATTATACGGATGACACCAGATCCCCAGAGCCGGACCTCTGGGTGCCTCAGCCCCAACAGCGTGTCCGCACCGGGACCCTGTGGAGGACGCTGCCCCCTTGTGGTTGCCGCACGCCAGGCCCGCCGGGCTACGTTGCTCCATGGAGGGGCCCGGACTGGCGAGCTCTATCTCTAACCAGCTGCCTCCTTCCTGTGACTTCTGCCGACGCCCCTCCGATTCCTGCAGCCCCTCTGCAGTCCTCCACCTTTTTCTTTCTTTCCTTTTGAGACAGGGTCTCACCCTTGTCACCCAGGCTAGAGTGCAGTGGCAGGATCATAGCTCACTGCAGCCTGGAACTCCTGCGCTCAAGAGGTCCTCCTGCCTCAGCCTCCAGAGTAGCTAGGTCTACAGGCATGCCTTACCAGACTCCGCTAATTTATTTTTATTTTGTAGAGACGGAGTCTCACTCTGTTGCCAGGCTGGTCTTGAACTCCTGGGCTCAAGTCATCCTCCCACCTCTGCCTCCCAAAGTGCTGGGATTACAGGCATGAGCCACCTCGCCGAGTCAATCCTCTACTTCTGTTTAGGTGCTGTGGGTGATATGACCCAGCAGGGGGCTGGCTGCCATGAAACTGGCCGGGGATTCGGGGATCTTCATATCCACATGGATGCATCTTTAGGATGAGTTCTATTCTTTGCACATTTTGCTATAGAGCAATTTTAAAAACCAATCAGCCACACTTTTTTTTTTTTTTTTGAGATGGAGTTTCACTTTTGTTGTCCAGGCTGGAGTGCAGTGTCACGATCTTGGCTCACTGCAACTTCTGCCTCCCAGGTCAAGTGATTCTCCTGCCTCAGCCACCCGAGTAGCTGGGATTACAGGCACGCACCACTACGTCTGGCTAATTTTTTTGTATATTTAGTAGAGATGGGGTTTCACCATGTTGGCCAGGCTGGTCTCGAACTCCTGACCTTAGGTGATCCACCCGCCTCGGCCTCTCAAAGTCCTGGGATTACAGGCATGAGCCACCATGCCTGGCCATCAGCCACATTTTTTGCTTGGCTCTTTTTAAAAACTGAGAGCAGGGAAGGTGGGGGTGTGGTGGGGACTGAGCAGAATGAGGGAGCCATGGGAAGGAGGGGTACAGGAAAGACTGGTGAGGGGCCACCATCGTCAGGATTTAGAATTTTACAATAAGAGCCCTGGAAAACTTTGAAGGATGGGGAGGGACTTTGCACTTGAGAAGAATTCCTTTGGATTGCGGGAGAGGGGATTGTGGGGGCCCTGGAGTCTGGCTGGGAGCCAGAGAGGAGGCCCTGGGGGCTGTACAGGCAGGTTTGGGGGTGTTGCCTGTGGGCTTGGAGTGAAGGATTCCAGAGGCCCTATAGAGGTAGCCTGGGTTGGCTAGAGAAGGAAGGATCACGGATGTTCCTCAGGCTGGTGCAGCCCAGCGGGGAGAATGGAGCTACAACTCATTGAGATAGGAACAGACTAGGGCAGGGATCACCGGTTCTGTTGGACAAGTGGAGTCTGTGATGTTGAGTAAATGGTCTGATATAAGGGGAGGGGGCTTGAGTTCTGTTGGAGGCAGAAACCTAGAGGAAAGGAGCTTTGGAAGAGCCCAGAGATTTCTGCTGGGATCCAAGAGCAGAGCTTGTCTGCTTTCCTTTTGTCCTGGCTCACCTCACCCAGACAGGGGCAGACCCCCACCATAACAAGGAGACCAAAAAGACACAGGGGGCACAAAAGTGAGATGCCTGTGGTTTATTGAAGGGAGCAAGGCCGGTGGGCGTGGACTCAAAGCACGGCAGCGGCAGGGGCTGGAGCAGTTGGGGATCTTCGGCTTCTAAATCCTAATTACACAGTAAGCTTTTGTCTATTTTTTCCTAAAACAAATAAACAAAGAAAGAAACAAACAGAAAAGCTCAACACAACAGTGAATGAATTGCATAGTTAGGCAGAGATGATGAGCCATAGAAACTTTAACATCAACCGAGAGGTGCAGTCAACTCTAGGAGGAACTAAGGTAGTAAGGGCTTGGATTGTTTCTCAAAAGCCTCTTGAAAAATAGTAAGAGGAGGCTGGGCGCGGTGGCTCATGCCTGTAATCCCAGCACTTGGGGAGGCTGAGGCGGGTGGATCACCTGAGGTCAGGAGTTCGAGACCAGACTGGCCAACATGGTGAAACCCTGTCGCTACAAAAATACAAAAATTAGCTGGGCATGATGGCGGGTGCCTGTAATCCCAGTTACTCGGGAAGCTGAGGCTGGAGAATCGCTTGAACCTGGGAGTCGGAGGTTGCAGTGAGCCAAGATCGTGCCATTGCAACTTAGCCTGGGCGACAGAGCAAGACTCTGTTTCAAAAAAGATCACTGTGCTGCCTGCCTGGGGACAGTGGCACTGTGACTCTCCTCTCTGGATTAGAAACAGGTCTGAAAACTGGGGCAACCCTACAGCCCCATTTGGAGAAGCCACTTCTAACCAGTGTGAAGTGAAGGGCGCTGGTTACCATGAGCTTAATGATGCTGTCTCTGGCCTTTGCGGGGAGGGTGTCCACCAGCTTCTTCAGCTGAGCCCCTGCCTCACTCATGTCTTGATCGGGGCTGAAAAATCCCATGGCAGCCTCAAAACTGGAGGGTGTGTCCAGGAACAGGGATTCAATGACACGCAGAAAGGTCGGGCAGATCTCTGCGGAAGCTGCAACACAGAGAAGAGAAGGCATATGTCTCCAGGCCCCTTTCCAAGCTGGCTAGCTCTCTGGCTGGGTCTGCCCGGATGCAAACAGCCAGGCCCATCAGCGGGAGATAGCACCCTTGTCATCAATGGGCTAGAGTGTGAGATTTGCTGGTGCTCTAAGCGGTTGCCTATTGGGTGCTGTGCGAATACTTTCTGGATTACGGCCAGCTTTTTGTGGATTGCCCGAGTCTTCCTTGGATTTCTTGGGTTGAGGTGAGCAAGGTGCCACTTTTCTTTCTGTTAGAGATCAAGGCAGAGTACTGATAATAGAAGCTGCTGGCCTGATTTGTTAATGCCATGTGGAGGCTGGGAAGAGGCCACTGAGGGTTTTGTTACCCGCCGGAAACTTGCCTCTCCTCAGTGGCTAGGGATGCCCTGAGCCATGCTTCACTGGGAGCATGTGACAAATTCAGGCTCTGGCAGGAAGAAGCGATTGTAAGCCAGGTGCGGTGGCTCACACCTGTAATCCCAGCACTTTGGGAGGCTGAGGCGGGCGGATCACGAGGTCAGGAGTTCCAGACCAGCCTGGCCAACATGGTGAAATCCCGTCTCTACTAAAAATACAAAATATTAGCTGGGTGTGGTGCTGGGTGCCTATAATCCTAGCTACTCGGGAGGCTGAGGCAGGAGAATCGCTTGAACCCTGGAGGCAGAAGTTGCAGTGAGCCGAGATCTCGTCACTGCACTCCAGTCTGGGCAACAGAGTGAGACTCTGTCTCAAAAAAAAAAAAAAAAAGGAAGAAGCCATTGAGATTGTACCAGCCAAACATGGGCCTCCAAACCTGGCCGGGAAGTGTGGCACACTCAGCTCACGGACAGAGCAGCCACTTTTACCGCTGCATTCCCTTCAACACAGAGCTTCAAGACTGTGTTTTCTTCTCAGGTCCTTACAACCAGGAATATGGGGGAAAGTCACCATTTTCTACCCCCTGCTTGCCTCCATCTTCCCAGTGAGTCTTAAATCCCTTGTCCTTGAATTCTCTGCCTCCCGTACAAATTTGCCTTCCCTCCTCCGACTCCAGGGCCTCTCTAGAAATGGCCACTCCAAGTCAGACCCTCTCCGGAACTTAGGTCCTTGCTTTGTAACTTACTATGTCACCAGGCAAGTCACTCTGTCTTTCCGTAGCTCAGTTTTCTCATCTGTAAAATGGGAACAATATCCCTACTTCATTTTATTTTTTATTTTTTAAATTTTAATTTAATTTAATTTTTATTTATTTATTTGTTTTGAGATGGAGTCTCACTCTATTGCCCAGGCTGGAGTGCAGTGGCGCTGTCTCGGCTCACTGCAACTTCTGCCTCCCAGGTTCAGTGATCCTCCTGCCTCAGCCTCCCAAGTAGCTGGGACTACAGGTGTGCATCACCATGGCTGGCTAATTTTTGTATTTTTAGTAGAGACAGGGTTTCACCATGTTGGCCAGGTTGGTCCTGAACTCCTGACCTCAAATGAGTTGGCCTCCCAAAGTGCTAGGATTACAGGCGTGAGCCACTGTGCCTGGCCCAGTATCCTTACTTCATAGGGTTGTTGTAAGAATGAAAAGAGAGGCCAGGTGTAGTGGCTCACACCTAATCGCAGCACTTTGGGAGGCCTAGGCGGGCGGATCATGAGGTCAAGAGATTGAGACCATCCTGGCCAACATGGTGAAACCTTGTCTCTACTAAAAATATAAAAATTAGCTGGGCACAGTGGTGTGTGCCTGTAATCCCAGCTACTTGGGAGGCTGAGGTAGGAGAATTGCTTGAGCCTGGGAGGCGGAGGTTGCAGTGAGTGAGCTGAGATCGTGCCACTGCACTCCAGCCTGGCAACAGAGCTAGACTCCATCTCAAAAAAAAAAAAAAAAAGAAAAGAGATACTAAAGAGCTACTATGTGAAAGGGTGACAGTGATTGTCACATTGTGTGAAGTAAGTGTTAAATATTGTATGTGTGCGCACACAAATAGACAAATGAAATGCATCTGACCCACCCCTTAACATGTTTCAGAACTATCTTGCTCGGCCACCCACCTCTGTACGCAGACAGCACTGAGATCTAATTAATACACATTTCAGTCCAAAATGATGTCATTTTCTCTGAAAAACAAATAAGCCTTTCTGCAAAATAGTTGTTCCTACTGCTTCTTGGTTTGGGTTTTCTAACTCCCCAGTGTCATAAAACTTATCTCCATGGGTGCTATGAAGCTTTCCAAGTGAATTAATTGGAGTTTATTTATTAAAAAACAACAACAACATTTTCAGTCGAGAATGGAAGAGGCTGATGCAGAGTGAAAAACAGAAATAGATAACCCAGTTCTCCAAAGACGGGCGATCTTGGAGAGAGGTGTGATCCTTCCTTCCTTCCTTTCTCCCCCTCTCTCCCTCTCTCCCTCTCTCTGTCTGCCCCTCTTCCCCCCACAATTCTTTTCCTTTTAATGACAGCAGCAACTACTCAGAGACTCCTAATCCCTTTTGCAGAGGACAGAAATGTTTAGAAAACTCCACTCTGGGTTGGCAGTTCCCCAAAGGGAAGATCTCTTTCTGGAACATTCTTCTGTGCCCAGAATGAGAGACCTTGTCTTGGGTTGGGTTTTGTTTGGGGTCATGAGTCCCTGCAGCTTCCCTTTCAGTGACTTCAGCTGCCAGCATGGAGTGGAGACCCCAGACTTGGAGGCTGCACCAAGGTCTCAGCATCTTGGGGTGTGTCCAGGTCTGGAATGAAGGCCTCATTATTCCTATGCTGGATGCACTCATCTTTATGAGGTGTCCTCCACCCCTCCCTCCAGCCTATTCCATTCCCTGGGATTCTGAGGGTTGCTGGATATGGAAGATGGGACCCTTTTTTTTTTTTTTTTTTTGAGACGGAGTCTCACTGTCACCCAGGCTGGAGTGCAGTGGCCCGATCTCAGCTCACTGCAAGCTCCGCCTCCCGGGTTCACGCCATTCTCCCGCCTCAGCCTCCGAGTAGCTGGGACTACAGGCGCCCGCCACCACGCCCGGCTAGTTTTTTGTATTTTTAGTAGAGACGGGGTTTCACCATGTTAGCCAGGATGGTCTCGATCTCCTGACCTCGTGATCCACCCGCCTCAGCCTCCCAAAGTGCTGGGATTACAGGCTTAAGCCACCGCGCCCGGCAGATGGGACCCTTTTTATGCTTCCTCACAGCCTGGGGCTCTCTCCAAGTTCCCAAGATGAACTTGCTCACCAGACCCAGTTTTCTGAGACTCAGCATGCCCAGGTCCTCCCAGTGGCTACAGAGCAGACACGGGCAGCTCACCCCTTCTTCTGAGCAAAACTGGGTGGTCCTGAGAGTTCCTAAGTCCAGGAGGGAGGGAAGGGACTCTGAGCACTCACCGGAGCTGCAGCAGAGAGCCAGCGTCACCAGGGGGAGGGTGACAGCGAGTTTCATGGTGGAGGCGGGGGATGCTCTGGCCCGTCACTGATTCCGTCTCTGAGACTGGTGGGCTAGTAGGAGACATGCCCAACAAGGTGCCTTTTATATGCTCCAGGCGGCAGCGCCCAGATGGGGAAGGGTAGGGCAAGGGCTCTACGTAAGATACCGCACTATTTGCTTGGGCATTGGCTCGGTGGAATAGGTAAATATTCCCGTTTCTCAACCCAGTTTCTGTCCCCATTGAAACTGAGCTCACACAATGGGCCCCTTGGGGGTGGAGTGCCAAGCCTTGCCTGAAGGCAGTGAAGGGAACCCATGTCAGAGGACGTGGAAACCCAGCTGCCTGTGTCACTCACTGAACCTGGGCACTGGGGCAGTCCAGGTCAAGAGAAGTAATTGTGGAGCCTACCTGGAGAAACTGAGGCCCAAGGTCCCTCCCAAGTGGCAGGGAGAGGACTAGGACTAGGACTCAGGATCCTGACTGTCCACTGGGCTCTTTCATAGGCTCCCCTCTGAGGAGGGCGACTGAGGAGGAACCTTAAGCCAGGAAAGTGACATGGTTCGGAGCATTGCTGTGGTCAGACTTGGGGGGGCCCTGGACTGTTGAACAAAAGGGACCTTTCCAGAATTCCCATCAGAAACCCGAGCCCTGCCACAGGCTGGGTCTGTTCCCACACAGAAGTGCTCTCAAGTCCTGTGCTCCTGATGGCCCAATTGGCAGGACCTTCAGTCCTTATCTCACTTGACCTCCCAACGGCCTTGACACCTGCGACCGCTTCCTTCTCGAACCATTCTCTCTCCTGCGCTCCCACGCCTCAGTTCTTTCCTGTTTTCCTTCTCTGGCTATTCCTTCTTGTTCTCTTTAGATGTTTATACTTTACTGTTCTTGAGTGTTGATGGTTCCCAGGCTTTGGCCTTCTCCCCTTTCTTGCCTCCAGTTGCCATTTCCTGGTTCTTCTCCAAAGCCTGGGCTTCATAGCACCTAGCCTGGCCTGGTCAAAATCCCCTTACTCAACCTCCCTGCCTCCCAGCTTGCTTTCCTCAGCCATCCTCTGAAAGGGCATCAGAATGATTTTCCTAAAGCGCATTGGTCATGTCCTAGTTCTTGAAACCCTTAAACTCTTCCTTTTGCCTATAGAATAAAATTCAAGTGCAGTTTACAAGGCCCTTGCCCACTGGCCTTTGCCTACCATTTGAACTTCACTTCTCCTCTCCCCGACACAGCGACTTAGCCCTCTCTTACTATTTGTGGATTCGAGAATGTTCCATGTTTTTTCATGTCTTTCTACCTATGCACAAGCTAAGCCTCATGCCTGAATACACATTTCCTGCCTTGTCCACTTCTCCAAATTCTATTTGTACTTCAAGACTCAATCAAATGTCGATCCACTCATTCATCCAATAAATGCTGACCACCTATGATGTGCCAGACGAGGTGCTAGGAGTTGGGAATTGGGGTAGATAGACATGGAGAAGCATTGCATGCCACTTCAAGAACTCCTCAAAAATAAATAAATAAATAAATAAAAAATAAATAAACAAATAAAAGGCCGGACACTGTGGCTCACGCCTGTAATCCCAGGACTTTGGGAGGCTGAGGCGAGTGGATCACCTAAGGTCAGGAGTTTGAGACCAGCCTGGCCAACATGACGAAACCCTAAAACTACAAAAATTAGCTGGGCGTGATGGTGGGTGCCTATAATCCCAGCGACTTGGGAGGCTGAGGCAGGAGAATTGCTTGAACCTGGGAGTCAGAGATTGTGATGAGCCGAGATCACACCATCGCACTCCGGCCTGGGCAACAAGAACAAAACTCCGTGTCGGAAAAAAGAAAAAAAAAAAAAAAGTATCCCGTTGTGCCTGAGGGTTTTGAAGGGGCTGCTGTGCCTGCATAGGGGGCATTCAGGGGCCAGAGCACACAAGGCCTCGTTCTAAGGCCTTTACACTCAGAGTGGGAAGCTCTTGAAGGTTTTATTCAGGGAGTGACATGGTCTGATACCCTTTCCTGATGAACTGACCCTGACTTGGGCAGCTGGGGAAATGGGGTGTTATTTCTTGACATAGAGAAGACTTGGGAAAAACAAGCTTGGGGGTGAAAATAGGGAGTGAAGCCTTCCCCAACAGGCAGTTCTGATGAGTGGCAGCTCTCCCTATGGGCCTCTCTTCCCCCTCTGCTTACAGGGCTCATTATACAATCTTTTAACTTTGCAATTGTTTATTTTCTTGTATGACTCCTTTACTTGACTGACCTCCTTTAGGGCTGAGGCCACTGTAAGCCAAGGTACGCAACGCTTGCTAAACAGGAATCCCTGGAATTAATCCATGCATGAGGCCTTTGTGCCATGTGACAGTTGAAGGCCATGGTGACCCCGAACTGTCCCACTCAGAGACGCCTTAACACTGGTAAGAGCACACGTTCTAAACTAGCAACCAACAAAGACTTGTCAAGTACGTTACGGTGTGTCCTTACAATGAAACGCTGTGTGGCTGAAAACAGAGAAAGAAGATCTTCTGAACTGATGGTGAAATGATCTCCAAGGCAGACTGCAAAGGGGAAAAATAAGGCATGAACAGCGTAAAAAAGAACAAAGAGAAGGCCGGGCGTGGTGGCTCACGCCTGTCATCCCAGCACTTTGGGAGGCTGAGGTGGGCGGATCATGAGGTCGATTGAGACCATCCTGGCCAACATAGTGAAACCCTGTCTCTACTAAAAAATTACAAAAAAAAAAAAAAAAAAATTAGCCGGGTGTGGTGGTGGGTGCCTGTAATCCCAGCTACTTGGGAGGCTGAGGCACAAAAATCACTTGAACCCAGGAGGCGGAGGTGGCAGTGAGCCGAGATCGCGCCACTGCACTCCAGCCTGGTGACAGAGCAAGACTCCATCTCAAAAAAAAAAAAAAAAAAAAAAGAGAATTCACATA